TTTTTATTTCAGAAATTGTACAGTCTTAGGGGGAAAAAAAAAGTCTTTTCTGTTAATATATTTGCGATTCATTAAAGGATGTGGAAAATCCAAATAAACTACTTTTAAAAGCAGGCTCAGCAGCAGGTGCTTTGGCTGGGTGTTGGGAGGCAGCCTTCAGAGCGCGAGGGGGAGAGCTCTGCGGGCGCAGCGATGCAGCTGCTGGGTGCCCGGGGCTCTTTTCTGCCCCGTGCCACCTTGTGTGTCCTGGGGCTCTTCCTGCAGCCCCCTTTGCTGGAAACCTGCCAGCCGGATTCACAGCTGACACCATTTTGTATTAATTACTCTAACAAGAGCTTATTCCTCTTTGGTGAAGGAAACTACACCAGAGAAATGGTCACAGCCTTGGTTTGCCAGGAAGGCACGCTCGTCAGTACGTGCGGAAAGCTTCAGGCACCCCGGGAATCCCTCCTGCTGCAAGCACGGTACCCTTGGATTAAAGCTTCTAGCGCTGGGTCTTGTATCAGCCTAATCCGGTGACTTTTTGAGAGCTGCGTTTGGCTGTAAAAGTTGCACTGAAATTAACCCTCTCCTACTCCTCCTCCCTTTTTGCTTCCGTGCCTTTCCACCTGGCCTTCCATGGCTGCGCACCGGGCACGGCCGCTTTGGCTCCTGCAGCCGCCCTCCCGCCCCGCGTTGCGCGCAGCAGCGAGAGCCCCGAGTCGCTCTTCCTGTGCCGCTCTTCTGGGCGAGTCGGGGTGCGTCGGGCTGCACGCTTCCTAGCGGCAAAGCGAAGCTTTGTCAATGGTTGGCTGAGCTTTAGGTGCCTCCGGAGAAAAGCAAACTTTTCCTTTTTTAAATGAGATTTGACTCAGCTGCGATACTGAATGGTAGCAACGCAGCGCGTGTTAGGGCTTGGAAACATCTCAGGACTTTGCAGCTTGGGGATGTTTTTGGCATTCAGTGTGTACAGCTTCGTACGGGTACGTTGGGCTTTGCTCTGTGGTTCTTTGCTGCTGCAGCATCTCCCTGTTTCCTGCCCCTCGGTCAGCGTTAGGGACTTGATTTGAGCGAGACTTGGTAGAGGAGCCCAATTTTTGGTATTTTTCATTTTGCTTGAAATTTGGTATTTTTCATATTGCTTGAAATGTGGTGTTCGTTTCCTAACTGAGCTGAGCTGCTTTGAGAGGGGTTGTAAGACTCGGCTGTGCATGGTGTGAAGAACTGGGTTTCTAAGGCAGGAAGAGTTCCTGATCCTCAGAGGAGCAGGGCTTAAAATGCTATTAATGCAGAGAATCAGGCTTCCTCCGCTTGCTTTCTCTATCAGCTTCTCAAAACCGTGTTTGTGCGGCCCGTGATGTCTCAGTTTGGCTCCTGCTGTTGCATGAGCTCGGGGAGCTGTTCCTCGCCTGCAGTGGCAGCCTGGGGACTGGGGACAGCGGGGGGACCCGGTCCCTTGTTTGGGGTGGCAGTGCCACCGGTGGGGTGCTCCAGGCAGGGATGGGGCACGCGGGGCTGTTGGTGCAGCACCCACGGGCCCTGTGCTGCTGGGAGCGGGCGGTGGGTTCCGTGGCAGTTGGCTGGGGAAGTTTCCAGTGAGCACGGCCTGGATGGCTTGGGACGAGGAGAGTGTGGCCGGCTGGGCATGGGGAAGGCTGGGGCTGCACCCAGATGGACCCAGGAGAAATCCCAAGCCCCCAGCCGGGGAGGGCTGGCACCTCCCAGCCCTGCGGATGCTGCCCTGGCCGCAGAGCGGGACCAGATCCTGCGCCTCGCCTCGGCATCGCCCCTGCTGGAGCCCCTCCATGAGAAAGGTAAACCCGACCGCGGCCCCTGCTCCACAGGGAGACCAAAGGGTCCCCCCAAAACACCCACACGGGGTGACAGGCCCCCCAAATGTCACAGCTCCAATGGAAACTGGCAATCCCTGCTTGAACCAACAGCCCCTGTACCAGCCCTGCCCACTCGGGGACAGCTCAGCCCCGCAGCGCCGGCTGTTGTTCAGCAGGATTGGGTTGGTTTGGGGATTTTCTGGGTGTCTCAAGCACAATGCTCAGCACCCCACGCCTGCTGGTGCCCAAAATGGGGGCGTCCCACCTGTGGCTCTGGCTGTGTTCCTTATTGCTCCATCGGGGTCTGGGCATCCTGGCCCCTGCTCTCGTGATGCTCTGATCCCTTCTCATATGGGACCTGCTCTCCTGGCCCAGTCTTATTTGGCCTTAAAGAACAAGGAGGTTTTCAAGAACCCTAACGGTACCAATAAGGGAGGTCTCAGAAACACCTCCCAGATCATCATAATAATAATAAAAATAATTATAAAAAAAAAAGTAAACCAACCAAAAAACACTTTCAAAGGTCTATGCCAGAAAAAAATACCTTGGAAAGCCATATCCAAGAAGGAGCCTAAAGTTCCCTTCTGCCAATCTTCCCATTCAGATGATTTATTGCTTGAAAAACTCCTTTTTTGAAAAAATCCTGTGGTTCATACGCGAGGAACAACAGAAATCCCTTGTTGTTGGGACATTTGGAAAGCAACCTTAATGAGACAAGAGGCTCAGCCTGCTAATTTCTGCCTCTTTTGGTTTCTCGTGTGTGTCTACACGGATTTAGAAATGGAACCCGCTGGGGTCTGACAGCTGCTTCTCTGCCCCGAGCTGGGTGGGAGCGCATCCCCTTGCTCTGTTTTCTGGAAGGATGCTGGTTTTAAAATGTGGCTGCATTGCTGCTGCCCCAAACAAGCAGGAATTCTCCTCGCAGGGGACCAGAGGCTCAGCCCATGGCTCAGCAGGGCCGTGGGGTTGTGCCTGCCGTTGTTCAGAGCCTCCCTCTGTGGTGTAAAGCGATCTGAGAGTTGTTTCACTGGGCACAGACTGCAGCACCCCACTGCCGCCTGCCCCCTTTTTTATATCTGCGTTGTGATATTCCTGAAAGGTGTCTGGCGTGTGGGTATAGCAGCTTGTGTCTCCTGACAAGCGGCATGAGACCTACAGGTCCCTGAGAAGCCACGGATGATCCAGGTGTCCTCTCGCTGCCCTAGGGATCCCCGCTCTGTTGGATAAAAGCCGAGGAGCTCCCCTTGTCCTCAGCCTGCTGGATGTGGCGTCTGTTTGGTGGGGTTAACCCCAGCCCCGCTCATGGATAAAAGCAAAAAGAAAGAGCAGAGGTGACCCAGGTGAGTTGTGCCACCTGTACACGGTGACCAGGCTGTCCTGGCCAGGAGGTGCAGGGGCTGGTGGTCCTGGGGGGCTGCTCGGGATGGAGGCCCCGGTGATGTCTGCTCCACGTGCCTTTGTCACACCTGTGTGTCCCCGCTCTGTCCCTCTCTTGGCTCTTCCCTCCCTGCTTCGCCCCTCCTGCATCCCGTGGGTGCAGGGCACGGGCACCGAGGGGACGGGGGCCTGGTGTCACCTGTGGGATGTGGGCCTGGTGTCGCTGGTCAGGTGGGAAAAGATGTCACCTGTGGGACAGGGACCTGGTGTCACTGCTCAGCCAGGAAGCCATGTCACCTACAGGACACAGGCCTAGAGTCACCTGTGGGACAGGGGCCTTCTGTCACCGGTGGGACATCAGCCTGGTGTCACCCGTGGGACAAAGTCACTGTTCAGACTTCCTGACCATGTCACCTGTGGGACATGGGCCTGGTGTCACTGGTCATCTAGGAAGCTGTGTCACCTACAGGACACAGGCCTGGTGTCACCTGTGGGACATGGGGCTCTGTCACCCGTGGGACATCAGCCTCGTGTCACCTGTGGGGCGTCAGCCTGGTGTCACCCATGGGACAAAGGCCTGGAGTCACTGTTCAGACTTCCTGACTGTGTCACCTGTGGGACATGGAGCTGGTGTCACTGGTTATCTAGGAAGCAGTGTCACTGACAGGACAAGGGCCTGGTGTCACTTGTGGAACATGGGGCTATGTCACCTGTGGGACATCAGCCTGGTGTCACCCGTGGAAGAAGGGCCTGGAGTCACTGCTCAGACAGGAACCGTGTCACCCGTGGGACATGGAGCTGGTGTCAGCGGTCACCTAGGAAGCCGTGTCACCCACAGGACAGGGGCCTGGTGTCACCCGTGGGCCGTGTGCCCGTGTCACCCGTGGCACAGGGCCCTGCTACCACCCAGGCCACACGGCGCGGTGTCCCCCCGGGGCCTGGTGTCACCGCTCACCCAGGGCACAGGGGCCCTGGCGCCCCCCCCGGGGCTGCGGGACGGGGCTGGGGGCCGCGTGTGGCGACCCCCCCGGACCCCCCCCTCAGCGGGGCCAGGCCGGGACCCGCTCTGCGGCCCCCCCCCCGCGCTCCCCATCCCTCGGGGGCGCGCCTCGGGGGCGCGCACGGAGCGAAGTGGGGGGGGGGGCACCGGAGGGGGGGGCGTGGAGGGGAGGGGGGGGGGGGCGTTAAAGGAGGGGGGGGGGTCCCGGCCCCCGCGGGCGGGGGGCGAGCGGCGGCCCCGCATCAATCACCGGCCGGGCCCCGCCCCCAAGGGGGCTGATTGACGCGGCGGCGGCCAATGGGGTGGGCGCATGCCCCGCGCTCAGCCAATGGGGGCGGGGGAGGGCGGAAGGTCCCCACTTCAAGGCTGGTTGAGCGGCGCAGGTAGGTGCGGGGCGAGGCGGTGCGGGGCGGGGGGGGGGCCGGGATGCGGGACCCCCCCACACCCCCCTCGGGGGGTCGGGCTCCTGTGAAGGGGGGGGGCTCCCGGCCTCGCCCCCCCTCCCCCTTCCCCTTCTCCCCACCGGCCTCCCGCAACTTGGCTGCGGGGAGCGGGCCGGGCCGCGGCGGGGTGGGGGGGGCGCGGTACCGGGGGGGGGCTGAGCCCCTCGGGGGGGCTCAGTGTGAGGCGGGGACCCCCCCCTCAGGAACCTCCCCCCCCCTCCCCAGCCCATCCCGGGCCTCCATTTTAGCCCCGGCGCATCCCGGGCCCGGGGTGGGGGGGGGTGGAAGGAGCTGGGGGGGGGGGCGGGGATCCTGGGGTGCCCCCCCCCGGTTTCACGGTTTTGGGGGGTGTGGAAGTGGTGCTGGCCCCCCCCCCCCCCGCTGTCTCTCACCGCAGCCTCTTCTTCCCGCAGGTCCCGGATCTTCGCCGCCTCCAGGAGGAATCAGAAACTTGCGGGGCCGCCGGGGCTGGGGGCGTTCGGGACCCCCCCGCCCGTGCTGCTGCTCGCCCCCTGCAATTGGGGATCCCCCCCCCCGCCAACGCTGCTCAGCGACCCCCTGGAATTTGGGATCCCTCCCTTGAACGCTGCTGGTCACCCCCTGGCCACAGGTGGTGAGGATGGGGCTCGCCGGCATGGCCAGCCAGGTAGGGCCCCCCCCCCCGATCCCACCCGACCGCAGGAATTTCGGTCTCACCACCTGCAAAGCGACCCAAGCTGGGTGGGCTGCGCTGGGCTTTTAGGGTCCCGTCTGGTTTCTGGTGGTGCGGGGCCAGCCTGGCCCCACAGTGGTTTCCTGGCAATGCTGAAGTTTAAGATGCAGGGGCAGGACAAAACAGGGCCGTGCTCTGTGTCTGAGGGGTTTTTCCCTCAAAAGTGGTCCGTGCCGCCTGGACCCGTGCCCCCATACGCAGGGAGGAGATGTGCAGCCTCCTCTTGGGAGCCTGTCTGTGTGTCCTGGTACTGCCTGTCCGTGTGCACAGCAGCACCAGGGCACCGAGGTGGGACTTGCCTAGAAAAAGGAAAATCTTCTGCTCCTCGCACCATGTGCATCTGTAAAACCCAGGCTCACAGCTGGCAGATCCTCCTTGTTTGCTGCCTTAGCCTGGTTTATCAGAGTTTTGTGTGCACCTGTCAGAGCAGTCTAAGGGATTTGGCTTTCCCCCATGAGAACTGAGGGTCTTAACTTGGCTTTTATTTTTTCCATGGACAAGTCTGATCGCCTTTCCATGCCTCTGCGAGGTGACCGAAGAGCTTCTGGGTCTGGAGTCGGAGGGCCGTGAGGACTTGCTGATGCTTGCTTTGAGAAGTCACCTGTTATCTTGCAACTCTTATTACGGGGTAAACACTTAGGTGCAGCAATCGAGTTATGCGGATCTGGGTAAAGCATAAAGTGGAATGCTGAAGGGGAGGACGTTTTCCTCCTCACGTAAGTCTATAAGCCAAAACAGCCTGACTTTAGCCCAATTACGAAGGGCTGAATTTAGACAAATTCTTTTGGAATGGGAAAACCAAAAATCTTTACTCAGTCCTTTCACGCTAACATTAGACAAATCTGCTCTGGTATCTGATTTCCAGTTGGCTGACGAAACAAGCAGAGGCTCTTATTCTGTGTGTACATAATAACAGCAAATCGTTGTGTGGGCTTTAAAAAGGAAGCTAAGGCTCTGATACAAGTTTTGGAGGTTATCGCTCAGTTTCCCAGAAATCGCAGTTCCTACAGCTCCTGCTGGAGCGATGGGAAGCCAGGAAGTGGCTTCTCTGGAAATCAGTCCTCACTTCTGCAGGGGTTCATCGTGCGGCTGTGGGGGCTTTGGTGCCTGCGTGGCCTTGGGACGTTGTCAGCCCGGGGATTTTCGTGTCCCTGTCAGTGGGTGAGGGTCTGCGGCAGCTGGAGGTGGTGCTGATTCGTGTAACGAAATGTCAGGATTCCAAACGTGAGCTCATTACCCTTGCTCCAGCCTGGAAAAGGCAGATGGGGGGCAGCCAAGTGAAATTGAGGAGTCCTTAAGCCACGGTGAGCCCGAGAGGCAGCATCCATCTCGTGCTGGTGGCTGCAAACGCTGCAGGTAGCGCCTGCACCGCGCAGCCTGGACCCGTGCCCGGTGGCCCCGGGGAGAACCTCGGCTCGGGGTGCTGGAGGGGTGCAGGAGGCACCCGCTTCTTCCCGCAGAGCGCCTCAGGAGCAGGCACACGGGAGGATAAGGTGGGTTGCTCTCCGCAAGCTGTGGCAGGAGCCGAGGGGAAGGAGGTGTGCCCGTGGCAGGTCACGTAGGAGCCTGCTGGAGGGCGTCCCGAGGAGGGTGTGCAGCCAGCCGCTGCGTCGGGCTCTCACGTCCGCTCGGCGCTTTTGCTTGGAGGCATTCAGGAGGAGCTAGGTGGACCTTGCTTTATTTTTTTTGAGCGCTTGAGTATGTCTTCTGTTCCTGTGCCAATAGCTTTAAACCTTTGGCTAGTGAGTATTTGAATCCTTTTGTGTCCTGCGCTCCTGACTTGGGCTCAAACCGTGGCACCTGATATTGCTGTCATAGCCTGCGTTTGTTTTTTTTTTATATAGTCATAAGGAAAGCAGCTCCATTACAGCCCTTAAGTCTTACAAAGCTCTTTACCTGCTGCTCCTCAGAGGGGAGGGAGGGTGTTTTGGAGCAGAGGAGCAGGAGCACCGTGTGTTCTGCCTTCGTGTGGTGGTGGCAGAACTGGGGTCTCGCTGCCTTGGTCTCGCTGCTGTTCCCCTGCAGTTCTGCTGTGCCTGCCTTGCTGTAGGAAGTATCCTTAACAAGGAAAGCGTGTAGGGACTTGACTCTTCCCACCGATGATGCCTGGTGTTTTCCTGCATTGCTGCGGGTTTGGAGGCAGGTGGATTTGGCGGAGACTGAGGAATTTGTGTGAAGCACCAAAACCTAGGGCTTGACGACTGGAAGACTGTTATCTGCGGAACAGAAGCGCTCAGAGCATAGCTAGGTGAGACTTGAGTATGACCAGAGGAGTAAATAGTCAATAACCAGCATATTTGATTCTGTTTCAGTCTGGTTAAACAGCTGCAGCAGCCGTGGGTCAATAGCAAGGTGTGCTTTTCCCTGAGTCTGGCAATCTAAACAGTAATAGAAACAGAAACTGATTCTGCTGTTAAAAAGGCTGGGAAAGGCAATGTGGTGGAGGGGAAGAGGCCGAGAATTACAAATGGAGACTTCAAACTTCCCTGTCCAGCTTCCAGCAGTGTCCGTGGCTAGAGGCTGGCTTGGTTCTCCGATCAGCCGTTGACTCACAGGAGGACGTGTGAGTGCAGGGCTTGGTGCAGGACAAGTTGGTGAAGGCCTTCTGCGAGCCGTAGGTGTGGCTTGTGGATTTCCTCGCCCAGAATGAAGGGAAATACATCGAGACTTTGCAAGTGGAAGGAAGAAGGGCTGAGCTGCACAGCAGGTACAGGTCTGGCCTTCCCCTCAGCCCCAGACTCCTTGCTACGAGTTGCTGGAATTCCTAACCAGACCTCGCTGATTCTTCTGAGCTTCTACATGAAGCCTCCCGAGTCTTTGCCCATCCTCCAGTGGAGCAGAATGTTGCCCCTAGTTATGGGGACACAAATGTGAGTATTGGGATTTGCAACGCGCTGTCCCCACGCTGTTAGCCTTTGTCTCCTGGTTTGATAAGGCATGGGCTTCTCTGTGGATAGAGCAGGATCGCATTTCCTTGTCCTTTTATTTCCTCCTTTTTCTCTCCCATGATATAAAGTACGTGTAAAGTGAAATGGAAGGGATGCAACTTCGAAGTGTGCCATTGCCTTACTTACAGATAAACAGCGGAATGATACCGTGAAATGCCTGGGATCGTGTGCTGCATGCTGCACAAAACATCACGATTCCCATAATGAAAGCATCACCTTAACTCCTGCCATCACTGTGCTTCTTAAATATTTGAGAAATCTGATGAGATCTGAGGGTTATTCTTGCCCCTTTTGTGCAGTTCCACGTGCGTGTTTTGAATGGATCTAAGCCAACCCGATAATATTGTTGGTAACTTACGGGGACATAAATGATACAGGGTTACAACTAAATGTAGAACTGGCTGCTTTACCCTCTGCAAGCTGATAAAACCTGGCTATCAGACCCCAGCTGGACTGACAAATTCAGGGTGCTCTTCTGTGAGTACTCAGCCTGCTGTTCTTTGGAAGATCCTCCACTGCTTTCCCCAAGCTGGTAAAAACAGAGCTTCCCGTGAGGACTTTAAGAAGCGAGGCTTTTCAGTACGACGTGCATTGGTCTGATGCAACAGTGTGGAGTATTTGAGCAGTTTTTGGCAGGGAGAAACCAACATCCTTGGCAGGGACTCAGAAATACAGTGGCGAAGTTAGTTTGTTACCTTCAGTAAGGAGCCTTACATTCCCAGCCTCTCCTCCTTATGGAAACCATATAAAAACGTTTTGCAGTTGCAACCGTAATTGATTTAAGATAGTTTCTTACCACGTCACTGGCACTGAGTGCTCCTCACCTTCACAACAGGTTAAAACAACTCCTGGCCTGGGTGGCGATAGGACTGCGACCTCGAGTCGTGGTGCTTTGCAGAGCAGGCTGTCCGCTGTGGGAGCAAACAGCACGCGTTGCCCTCGCAGTGAGGGGTGTCTGCATCAAATGACTCGATCCGGATCACTAACGTGGCTTTCAAACCAGGAATGTCACTTCTGTGGGTCTGCCAGCTTGTTAAGGGAGTACTGTGTGCTTTTCTTGTTCATACCAAGCAAATCGGAATAGCCGCTGACCTCTGATGAGGATGCAGGTCTGTAGCTCGACCTCGGGGTATTTCAGCAGGACCAATAACCCCCCGAGGCCCCCCAGCCTCTGCTCCATCTGCACGTGGCTCTCTTTAAGGGCTCTGCTCTCTTTCTGTCCTTTCTGGTGGGTGTTTTCAGAAGAGCCAGCTGGGGAGTGCTGTGTGTCACAGCTGAGTGCCTTTGGTGCCGTGACTGGACACTTTCTCGGATGTTACAGAAGGGCACTGGAAGTGCAGCGATCGCTGCAAAGGTCTCTTCTTGTTGTTGTTGCTGCAGCTCGTCAGGTTTGAAGCTAAATATAGATGAGTCTTGCATCTCCTGAAGCCTCAGTGGACGCTGATGTCTGAGATCGTTAGATGTTTTAACAAAAATGGCAAAGTTGCAAACCAGCACGTGGAAAAAATGCAGTTATATCTGGGGCAGTGTCTGTAGGGAGTCATGTCACCGTGTCCCTTGGTGGTCACTGCTTTCCCTGCTGCGATAAGATGCTTCTCAAGCTGATCTGGGGTCTTTGCATGCTCTGAAGTCTCCCTCCATGTGCCTTAGCTTATTTGTTAGTATGTTTTGTTGAACAAATAGTTGTATATGCACACAAAGTTTGTATCTGCCTTAGAAATCCAACAGTCAAAGCAAATCACGAGGATTAATAGGTAAAGGATGTGTGTGGGGGGGGGAAATAAGGTAGCAGTTGGGTACACCGGGTATGGAGCCCTGTGGCTTGTGTGTTCTTGGTGCTTTGTAGGAGAGGAGAGCTTCAAAGAAAGGTTTCCAGGCTGCTGCTGTAAAAGCTGTGGGTTCAGCACCGAGAGCACCTCATGATGTGTGGGGTGTCAGCAGGAGCCCTGAGCCCGTCTGGGGGACTCGTGGACAGGGCAGTTGGCT